GATGTAGAAGCAGGAGAAAAGGAAAGTTCATCATCAATAATTTCTATTATTGATGTTGAATTAGGGTTGTATTTGATAATTTTGAGATAAAAGATTGTTGAAATTTTTGAAACAGACATGTTTTTACATTTTTTGATTGAGTCTTATGTATTGCTTGAACAGTTGATAAAGTAATAATTTATACAGATAATGAAGTTTTTAAAGAATTTAATCAAGGCATTTGTTTGGTAAAGGTTACTGAAATAGGAGATTATTGATTGCGTAAAAGTTAAAATTATGTAATTCTATATATAACTTTTTCTCTATAAAAGTTAATGCAACACAAAAAAATATCGAGGATCTATATCTTATGGTATTAGTTTGGTTGGTAAATTGATTTCCATTTAGATGAAATATTGTAATTACAATTTCAGTCAGTTTATTTTTAATAGATAATTGGTGATAATGCAATCAAATTGAACTCCAATTTCAGTAACAACTGCAGATTTGAAAGCTAAGGTTATACCTATTACAATTATTTGATGAATTGGTAAATTTTTAGGATAAATATCTAAAATAATTGCTGCATTTAATATTAACTATATTTTTTTATAAAAAATGAAAATGAACTTATATTAATATTTATTTTATATAAAATTTTTTTTTTATAAAATACATACATTAATTTCACAATTATTAGCTCCTTTAGCAAACTTTGAATTTGCAATTGACAAAACTTGACCTTCTTTTAACCTTGGAACATAGCAAAGTTTTAATTCATTGATTGGATAAAATATGATAATTAAGAAAGTTTACATTAAATTACTTTCTTTAAGTCTTGCATGACCAATAGCGTTTTTTACAAAGAAGTTAGTAGAAATTTTTTCTTTGAATTCTGAAATATATAAAATCATTGAAAATGAGGCAAACATTATTATATATTGTTATTAAAGAAAAATTATAATTTTTTTTTTCACGTATAAATTTGATTATTTATGTTATTTGTGTAAAATTTTAAAATTTATTATTTTTTTTAAGAAAACTTAAATTTTTTTCTTTTTTTATAATAAAAGAAATTTTTTTTTTTTTTTTATAATTATAAAAGAATCTATTTTTTTATTTAACATGTGAACAATTTTTTTAACTAATTTTTTATTTAAACAAAGCAAAATAAATGTAACTTACGTAAATTACAACTTATTTTAAAAAATAAAATCAAAAAAAAATGAGGTGTAGAATTTAAAAATAAGCTAGAATGTTAAATATTATGAAAAATCATAATGTAAAATTGAAATAAAAATTAGTAAAATGTTATATCTTTTTTATAAAAAACATTATTTTGCAAAGAAGCTAGTTAATATTTCTTGTAATTATAAAATTATTTTTAATTGAATATTATATTTTTTATCTTTATATTTTTTTATATTTACTGAAAAATATTATAAAAAATAATATTCATTAAAATTTTTTTTATGAAATTTTTTTTTCTTAAAATTTTTTCTTAACATGAACATAAATAAAACAAAACAAAACAAAATCAAATAAAGAAAAATATAAGATCAAATGTATTACAAATAAAAAATAACAAATTTGAATCGAAAGATTTAATTACTAATTACAAATATAGTTTATTCATTTTATCTCAAAAAAAAGAAAGAAAAATGAGGTTAAAATTTAAAAAGGATTAGATCTACTTCAAGAAAAAATAAACTATAGTTCATTTATTTTATTTTCAAAATAAGAAACAAACAATGAGATTAAAGATTAAAGAGTGTTAGTTTAGTTCTATCTCAAAAAAAAATACTATGAAAAAATGTAATACAAAAAAAACAAATGATCAAAAAATCAATTCAATGAAATTAAATATCAATGAAAAATAAACAAAAGACCAACAAAAAATCAACAAAACCAAATTTTTGCAGAAATATCTTTTATATGATATTCAAATTTAACATATTAAAAAATGGCATAGGAAAGCTTAAAATGCGAATTTATTCTAATGATAACATAGAAGCATTTAACAATAACAGTAGCTGTAGCTGTAGCTATAGTTATAGCAGTAGCTAACCTATAGCTATATAGCTACTTTATAAAATTGAAAATCGATATTCATATTGTGTATTATTAAAAATAATAAAATCATATAAATCATTTAAAGATTAGTATAACCAAGATACAAATCAAGCAAAAAAATCAATTTTTAAGAAAATGATCATTAATAAATTACAATGTTAATCTCTCTTCTTCATCTATTTTGCAGATCACTTTGTAGATTCATTTACACTATATATTATAATAAAAAATATAAAATATAAAATATTAAGCATATGTATTATATGTATTTCAAATTGTGATTTTAATGAATTATTAAAATTTTCAAAATTATTGAAATTGGCTATTATATATGATAATTGACAAAAATACAAAACACAAAAATTATATAATAAATAATTAGCTAATTACAAATAATATAAGATAGAAATAATTTCAAAGGAGTTTTGTATTGTGTTTATTATATTTGTTATAATATCTTATTAGTGATAATTTTATTATGATGCACGATATTACGTCAAACATAATTGATGAATGGTAATCTTAACAATCAAGATTCTTAACTTTTTACTATTTCTCTGATTTTTCTAATTTTTTAACGATCTCTAATTTCACACATTTCTTTAATATATAATTTCTTTATTTTATTATATTTATTATATTTCTTTATTATCTTAAATATTTATTTCATATTGATGTATTTTATATAAATATCTTGTATTTCTACCTCAATAAATGGCAGAGTTATTACCAATTTTCTAATAAATCAATAATATTTATTTCTTTCATAGTTTAGGCGTACTTAAACTCCCTGTTAGCAAATAATCTTTATTAACTTAACGACAAACAGTTTAAACTTAACAACCTATTCTACTCAAAAATATAAGAAATTGACACTTGTTTTTTATGTCAAATATGTTTGAATTATAATAAACTATTAATTTTTTAAATACTGTCAATATGACATGAGTAAATAATAAGAAATACAAAAAAATGGAAAAGCTAATGTATGATTTAAATACAAAATACAAGATTTATAATGAATTATAACTGTTTGAATTAAGTAAAGCTAATAGAATTTATTTATATAAAATGGATTTTTCTCAAAAATTAAATATAGTTTATGTTCAACATATTATAACTTAATAATAAGGTTAAAAAAATTTCAAAATAACAAAGATCATTTCAGCAAATCTACCAAAAACTTATAAATCTAATATCAAATCAAATTAAGCATCAAGGTTAATTAGCTTTAATCATTCAGCTAAAAATTCTAGAGAAATAAATAATAATAATAATAATAATGTTGATGAAAATGATGATAATAATAAGAACAATAATGATAATAAAGTAGATGAAATAGAAGAAATGAATTAAATAGGATTATAAGCATATTGAAAAAACAAGTTGCTATAAGAAAGATTTTAATGGATCTGATATGAATATAAAATTTTTTAATTTATATATTATGTTATATATTATATTTATTAAAACATTAAAAAATACATTCTGATTATTATTTAGATGAAATTGTTAAAGAAATGATTAGAAGGATTTACAAAATCCATATTTCTAAAAATAAAAATAAAATTATAATTAATTAAATTATTATGAAATATTATATATAATAATTGGGGTTCCTTAAAATGAATCAAATCAAATATTCAAGCAATTTGAATTTGATCAAATTGAATATAAAATTTTTTTTAATTTTTATTCTAGTTTTAATTAAGAAAATTATTAGTAATTGCACTAAAAAATTTCAAAGATAACTTTTACAAAGTAAGTTTAGTAACAGGTAAATTTTTACTATTAAACTTAATAAAATAACTTCGCAGTTTCAGTTTTACTAAGAAAACTTAGTAATAACCGCTATCGCGGCTTCAGTTTTACTAAGAAAACTTAGTAATAACTGCTATCTCAGCTTCAGTTTTACTAAATAATAACTGCCATTTTAGCTTCGTAACAATTTTATTAGTAAAAAAATGTTTCTAAAGCTGCGGACGTGTTTTTTACTAAGTTTCTTAGTAAAAATGTCTCCAAAGTTGTGAAGGTGTTTTTTACTATATTTTTCTTAGTAAAAAAAGCATTTCTGAAGCTGCAGAAGTGCTTTTTACTATAAATTTTTTAGTAAAAAAGCATTTCCAAAGCTGCAGAAGCACTTTTACTATGGGTTTTTTTAGTAAAAAAGACATTTTTGAAGTTACGGAAGCACTTTTTACTATAGTTTTCTTAGTAAAAAAGGCATTTCTGAAGCCACAGAGGCACTTTATGCTATAGTTTTCTTAGTAAAAAAGGCATTTCTGAAACCGCAAAGGCACTTTTTACTATGGTTTTCTTAGTAAGAACCACTTCTGAAACTTTGAAGATGGCTTTACTATTGATTCAAATCTAATCAAATATTTGAATATTTGATTTGAATTTGATCGAATTGAATCAAATATTAATTTGGATTTGATCAAATAAATCATTCTTTGATTTGAATTTGATCGAATCAAATCAAATATTCAAATATCAAATCAAATTGCAGAACTCTACAAATACCTTTGTTGATACGAACAAATGTGATATCTTAAAGAGTATAATAGGAAATAAGTTTTCTCTAGTATCAGCAAATAATCCCTATACAGGTGGTAATCCCACTATTAATACACCCGCTACATTTATTGTTTTGTTACGACATAAATATCAAGAAGTGATGGCTGAAAATGCAGAATTAACTTTACAGTCATTGATACAAGAAAAACTTAACTTGACAGATTCTCCTGATGTCTATGAATCTAGAGTCTGAAATATATAGTAGGTTTGTAGATGATCAGGTATTACTAGCATTATATACTCATTTACCCCCAGATCTTCATAATAGTATAAAAATATATATAACTATAAGAGATGCAGGTAATTAAACTATAGATAATTTCTTTGCTAATTTCAGGAAGTATTGGGTAGAATGTCAAGTTGGACAAAATATGTTACCTCAAACTGTTAATAATCAAATCTAACCTCAATTTTGTTCTCAAGAAGCCATCTCAGCTTATTTTGAAAAGTTAAATACCAAAATAGCTTCTTTAGATGCACAGTTAGCAGAATCAATACAGGTGCATTTTAAACTTGTCCAACACTTACAGCTACCTGAAAATGTAATTAATTAGAATAATGCTTCAATCTTTGATAGTCATATTAATCAAAAATTGGAAAAAAGATTAGGAGTAATTGAAATTAATTTAGCCAAACTTACCAAACTCATAAGAGAAGATACCATAAATACCAAATTAGCCCAGTATCAGTATTCAGAATTTTCAGACTATAATAATAGAAGATTGGAAAAAAGATTAGAACAAATTGAAGCTTACATAGCCAAATTTATCAGAAAAGATACCAGAAGTGCCAAAACATCTCAGTGTTAATGCTCAGGGTTCTCACCTTTTGAAGGATTCAAAAAAAGATTAGGACAAATCGAAATCCTATTAGCTAAACTTGCCAGGTGTTTCAAATTCAAGAGTAAGCGAATACAGCAGGCGAAAAGTCTTCTGCTGATTTTTTTGACAATGACACTACCTTTCCGTTAAAGTCTGAGGATAATGATGATGACTCTGATAATTTTTCGATTGAATCAGACTCTGAAAATATGATACGAAAATTTACATAACTTATGGAAAAAAAAGTGAACTATGCTGAGCAGAGTGGTCATTCCAATAAGTCTTCAAGCTTTAAAATTAATAATAGATTCAAGCCTCATAAGTTAAATCAGAATAATAATTCACTATTTACCTGTAATATCTTATCAGAGAAAGGTAGCCAAGATATTAGGCAGGTATCTTTAGAAGAAACCATTTGCAAAATAATTCAGAGTGAATTTGTAAATTATTTCCTATACATAATTTAACAAGTTAAAAACAAAAAAAAAAAATTAAAAGTAAGCCTGTTTTAGCTCAAGATTCAGATGAAGAGAATATTTTAGATAGTCTTATGAAAATAGATTTCATCTAAAAAAAGAAACTTACTACAAATATTGCAACTATAAAATATAAGATTAAGCATCTTAAAATTCTAGTTATAGCATTGGATTCTTGTACTAAACTTTCTATTGCAATATCAGATATTATTGAATATGTAGGATATAGGATCAATAAATCTATAAAACATGATTTTAGTGATATTGCTACTCTTCTGATTGTGTCTGTTAGAGTTATTCATGATTTACCAATAACCTTAGCTCCAGGTTGTACCATTTTTTAGTTGCGAAGTACTCTAAGCTAATGCTAAATATTTTCTAATTTTCTTCTCAAGAAATATGATGCGCAATTGATTAGGATAAAGATACGTTAAAGCTCCACTATAATGGAAAGAATTTTACTATTTCAATCACAATGCATAAAATCAAGAACAAGCACAAGGTGAACTGCGTAACCACTACTTCCGAATGTGATGATTCCTCAACCTCAAATTGTATTTCGCAGAACTTGCAATACTTAAGTGAGAATGACACATTAAAAAAGACGCATGAGCTATGAAGAACTAGAAAAAATGCTATTTACTAGTATCTAAATGAATTTAAAAATTATAGGATACTATAACGATTTGTATAGTTATGATGTTAAGTCCCAATTGCCAATGTAAATGTAATAATGCAACCCTTTATTCTAACCTTTTTCATTTCAATATTTACTTTCTTAAACATCTCTGAAATATCTCCAGAATCTTGCAAAATAATAAGTGATTGATAGGAAATGATTCAGATAATATATCTATTGTATTTTTTTTTTACTTCTAAATCTCTACCTACTATTTCTAATAAATTATCAGAAACACGAATAAACTTAGATCCTGATGTTTTCTTTTTTTACTTATCCTACAGTTAGCTTGAACGAGCTGACTCATGTACTGGAGATGAATTAGGGATATGAAGTTTTGCTATTTGTCTGTACTAAGAATTTCTGCCAATTCATATTTTTTACTCTGTTGCAACTGTTCACAATTGTTCCATATATTATGGATGCGTTCTTTATGTATATGATAATTTCTCACTATTATATATGTAGGAATCTTATTTTTGAGATGCTTAATTTCTTCGATTTACTTAGGTATCAAATCAGTAGCATCTCATTGATAATGAGTTTATAAATATAGGTTGGCTATGTAGTTCTTCCAGTAATTTTATGACAATAAAAAATGATAGAAAATAATATTTATTATTTTTAAACGATATAAAATGTTGCAAAATGATGTAAAATAATATTTATCGTATTTATAACATTAAAAAACAATAAAAAATAATGGAAAATAATATTTATTATTTTATATATTTAAAAACTCTTTCCTTATTTTTACAAAAATTCTGAAAAATGACAAAAAAAACTATTTTGCGAAGAAACCCAAACTGTAACTGTTCTAGTTTACCTGTTAGTAATAGAACCCACTACCACCAGCAAAAAGAGTCCAACTTGCACAGCAAGAAAAAGAACCTCAACAACAAACACCAGTTCAGTCAACATTTACTTAAGAAAATAAAACTACAACTGAAGAAACTATAGATATTGACCCAACTTCTTCTACTATTAATAAGGGTAAAGTACCAGAAACCCCTCTACAACCTGAAAATAAAGTGTATGACAATGACCAAGCTTTCAACGCCTCAGAAAATATGCTTTCAAATAACACAGAAAAGAATATTACACGCTTTGAAAGAGAACAAGACTCTCCAATTTTCTTTGCTTACTGCATTGCAGATATCTTTCTCCCAGGCAAATCCAATAAAGAAAAAACAAATGCTGCCTGTGATTTGTTTTGTGACACTGAATACCCTTATTTATTGGTGTATTTGTTAGAAATCCCCCCACCGACCCAATAAAGAAAATTATCAGAATTGGATTTACTACACAAGTTGACATAGAAAAAGCCGTTGCTTTTCACATTTCTAATATGGAAAATACCACATTTTTACCCCTTACACAAACTCTGATCAGCAAATTTACCCTAGAAAAATTCATTAAAATTACAGAGATCTTAATCTCAGTAACTGATGTGAATATTCGTGCAGTATTTTCCTTTTTTGGCAAGATCATCAGATGCTCTATGACTACAAAAAAATTGTGGTAACAAGTTACTGTAACGTATGATGACACTACTGACATGTCCCAATTTGATAGTATTGATAGTTATTTTGTACTCAAAGATTTAGTTCGTATCTACAAATGCATTCTCTCCAATGAAGAAGTTAGAGCTAAATCAAAATTCTCCTTAAAATTAACCAACCTCCCTATTGATACAAATGGATGCCAACTTATTAATATTGGTAGAACCGTAAATGCAATGGCATGGGTAATTCCCAAAGCAAAATCTAACTATCGTAACTTACAGTATGCGGTATTCTACTTTAAATCACAAGAAAGACTTGATTTTATTAAAGAATGTGATACTTTTTATCTAGATCAAAAGAAACTCATTTGGGCTGACTCCAACACAAAACTATGTTATATTTGCTCAGTTCCTAGACATCAATCATATAACTACTGCTGTAACCGTAAAGCACCCAATGATAAACAAATGCAGAATCTATATCAGAGATACCAACTTGCACAGTTTAGCAATTACAAAGCTCCTCTGCCTAAACCCAAAACTCCTCAAAAAAATAACAATCAAGTATTCAAATGTACAGAAAACTCAAATAGTTATCAACAACTCAACGATTCATATGCTCATACTACCAAAAATTCTGACCCTAATGATCCTTCCAACTACCATCACCCTGACCAGCGAAAAACTAATGCAAAAGGTGATCAAATCCTTGCTGCTAGTATCCATACAAATCAGGATTGGGCAGAGAGCACTGAACATGAATATTATCAAGATAACTGCTCCAATCATCCAACCGATAATCAACCTAAATTAGACCAAATTATGCTCAAACTCGAACTTATCACGAATCAACTCACTTCGATTCACAATGATCTTTCCTTCACTATTGATAGAGTCAATGCTATTGAAGAAAATTTAGGCATCACTGCTCTAACCCAAAAAGAAGCAGATGAACTTGATGCTTCCCCAACTATGAAAGATGATGATTATGAAGACCACAATCCTTACAAAGCTGGCATCATTAGTGACTATACCGAAGTTGATCACTTACGTGATGAGAATGATACCTTTAGAGCAAACCTTGAAATGAATATTAAAAAGCTTAACTACGCGCTTCAAGCGGTAGCCCAAATGCAACGTGTCTTAAAGACCTCAAATGTTATTAAAGATATCATTTCAGTTGAAGCCCTTATTGCTCCATCAATTAATTGCAGAAATGAAGATAATGTTTTTGTATCCTCCCATCACAATTCTTCTAATTATTATGATTAGTATAACAAATGCTTCTAACACAAACGATCAATCCACATTTTCAAATATTTCCTTTTCATCTACTCCTCTCATTTTATTTCAACCTTAAACATTGTCACCCATAACGTTCGTTCTTTCAATAACCCTTTCAAACAAAAATTGTTAACCAGTCTTTACCTGTGTAATTATCTCAATGTCATTGACATCCAAAAAACTAATTTTAATTCAAATAGAGATATTTCTGCATTATGTTTTTCACTTCCCCCATCCTTTGTTCCCTTTTTCGAACATAAACAAAACTCTCAACAAGTTGGCTTTGGTATAGGCCTTCTTATCAGAAAACCACTTACTGACCACATATATAATCATGCTGGTAACCTGGAAAGATACATTTATGTAGACTTACAATTCCCAGCGTGCTTCAAAATTAGAATTATCAACGTATACATTTCAAGTTCTAATGTTCAACTACGTTCTCAAACCATCAAAGAGGTATCCGAAATTATCCAACAAGCTTTGACAAGGAATATACACATTATCCTTCTTGGCGATTTTAACACTATCCCAACCCGTTTTATTAATCCTTCTAAATCAAATGAATTTTTCTCTCTCCTTAAATCCTATAATATTTTTAACTCATATAGTCTTCTTCATAATAACGTGGATAATACCCATCCAACATACAGTTGTTCTCCCACATCAACTTTCTCTCATATTGATCATATTTTTTTCTCTCAAGTCATCTCAAATGGTATTATTTCATCAGAAGTCATAAAAGTAGACTCACAATACACTGATCATTCTATTGTTGTTACTAAAATCACTATTTCAAAAATGACTCAAAGATCAGTTTCACCCAAAGCAATTAAAAAAACTGTTTTTCTATATGACAATACTAACGATCAACAATGGGATTCCTTTTTACAGAAAACTGATAACCTTTTAGAGTCATGCCATCTCAAACAAATGACCTTGGCCCGTCTATCATCACTCCATAATCTGAACTTTTATTAGAATCATCTTCAACAATGCATTATTAAAGCTGCGGAATTGACTATCCCTCACAGACAATCTTCTG